CAGGGATGAGATAAGCAACTGAGATACAGAAGTGGGTGTGAGTGGCAACTTTGTATTTGTTGGTTTGTCTTCCAAAATGATGTACATACAGTTGCCTGCTGCAGAATCTGACTGTTTATCACAGAATTTTGATTTTCAGTTATAGGCCTTACTAATATTGACTACATTAATGCACTTTTAGCAGACATACAAAAACTTACAGCTGTATGGAGGTGAATGTTTTGGAGATGTTAAATCAACAATCTGCTTTTTATATATGTCTAAAGGAATCAGTTACTGGATATATTTTGCTATTGGGAATTGAACCCATGGTCTCCTCTTTCATTTCTTACTAGTTATTTTGTTCAGGCAAAGAATTTGAGTTATGGGAAGAAGATACTTACACACTGGCATCTTGTGACCAAAGATGACTCCTTATGGTTTAAGTCCAGGGCACTCTTCCCAGGACATTTTTTCTAAAGCAGAAACCAAAGTGTCATTACATTCTTCTTTCTCAGGTGCTTGAGCCTCTCTTATCCCACAAAGCTCCTACACTTCGGAATGTATGAATTGGCTTAATTAATGCTTCTTATATTGTTTCTTTCATTTTGACTTTTTTCTTGTTTTTCTCTTCCACCTGTTTTCTGGGGGATTTTTTCCTCCTAATTTTCTCTTCTTTTCCCTCCACCATCCTAGTTCTTTTGTTCCTCTCATCTTGTCTATAAGTACTTCTTAACGCATGATTTCTCTTCTCCCTTTATCCTGTTATCTTTCAGTTTGTCTTCTTCATGTTGTTTAGCTCCTTTCTTTTCAGCTACCCATTATTTCTCTATTTTCCTTTTCTTTTTCCCTATTTTATGTCTTTTCTTTTCTTTTCTCCTTTGCTCCATTTGTCCTCCCTGTGTCTGGATAAGGCAAGTGGAAATTGTTGTTAATATGCCCCTTCACCAGGAATCATCACCCCACAGCTCTCTCCTTTTGTTGGGTCAGGTCTTCATCCCTGTGCAATTCACTTGACTCTAAGCACTGGCAATAAAATGATGCAAACAGTGTGAACAAGTGCTGTGAAGGTGAGCACAGGGGAGTGTTCTAGTCACTAATGTTGTAGATAGCTTTGCAGAATTGATGGGTTTTCAGAAGTTTCTAAAATGAATGGTTTAATAGACATACGAATATACCTTGCAGCTAAAGTACTAAATTCACCAACCCAAAGCTAGAGGGCTGCCAGATATGGAAATGATGTCTGTATACTCTGCTAGGACTGGAATCTGATGCTTGTATGTTTTAGTGGCAGTCCCACAAGGTTTTCTCAGACTACACTGTTAGGAAGGAATGGCATAGTTTAGTACTTCTTCAGATGGGCCAACTCTATTCCTGTTTGCTATTATTTACTTATTGGATAACAGTGTGCTCAGTGCTGTTTAGAAGAAGAAAGTCTCTGCTCTGAGGAATATAGACTGTAACACAATACAGTATAATACAGATACATAAAAGCTTTAAGCTCCTGCTTAATAGTTGACAGTCATTGAAGAGTTGCATGAATATAAAAATGAAGAGAAGTTCAAAACTGCACCAATAGCCACCCTAACCCCCTCCCATATGCCAAAACCTTTTTGAATCACCTCCTCTTTCTCCACTCCTAATCTCACCCCCTCTCACTCCACTAGCCCAACATCTGCTTTATTTCTCCCCTTCTTATGTCCAAACCTCCCCATTTCACTTTTTCCCTGTCCAAAACACTCCAGGATCACATCCCTACCCACTCCCTAACCAACCCTCTGTTGCATCTTCTCCCCCATCCGTTTGGTGCTTCCTTCATTTTGACCCAAACCTTCCTTCAGTACTTCCCCCTTTACTCCACTCTCCCAAGTAAAACCATCTTGTATCTGTGACACTTCCCTCAGGGAACCCAGAACTGTACGGCAACAGTGTTACCCCTGGGCCTCAGCTGCTGTTAATCTCTATGTCTGCACCATGCCACTCCAATTTGTCTGCCTTGCCAGCAAGCTCCTCAAGACTCTGCCAGTCAAAACCTTGCCTTGCAGGTAACAACCAGTGAACCCGAGTTCCGCAGAGACCTTTCCTTGCAGTGCCCAGTTCTTCAGCGAAATTATAAAATTTGCTGCCTACAAAGAGACAGAGGACACACCAAGCTGTTAATTTGGCAGAGGGCTCCTACCTCAACAACATAATAGCACTGAGATGGTTTTGTAATAAAACAAGAATAGATGTTTTAATAAAGAACACAGATTTAAGTGATACCAGGCAAGAGTAAAATGAAAAAGGCTGGACAAAGGCAGACAAAACAAAAATAATACACTGTGATGGAGTTTGTAGGTAAAGCCCTGCAAATCCTTTATATCCGCAGATATCTGCATCCATGGATGCGATCGTATTGTTTACCATCCTTGTGGATTGGATGCAGATTCAAATTTTTGTATCCTTGCAGAGCTTTAGAGCAACGGTTCTCAACTGGGGGTCCACGGCCCCCTTGGTGGCGCCAGGACTCCGAGCTTTAGCCCTGCCGGGGCACCAGGCTCAGGGCTCGAGGCTTCAGCCCTGTGGAGGGTGCTGGGGCTCAGGGCTTCAGCCACGCAGTGCCTTGCGGACCCCCTGAAACCGGGGAGGCTGCGGACTCCCACTTGAGAACTGCTGCTCTCGGATGCTGGTGTGGATATATATAAAGTTCTAGTGCTGAGAACTTAATCCTAGCAAGCTATGTGCCTAAAACAGTTTGTCACTTATGGGAAAGTATCAACAGCTCCTGCCCTTCAGGCTAAGAGGATCCACTGTTCCTAAACTCAGAAATGGCTGTTCCCTGTGTCCCCTAAATGATGGATAGGTAAGAGATCCTCTCCCTTTCTTTTATAATCCAGTGAACATTTGACGTGTATTGCCAGATAAAGTTTTTCTCCCCTCCTGGTTGTACTGATGCTATGGTGTCTCCCTCCTACTCTGGTCAATTGGCTACTCCTGGTGGAATTCTATGCCCTGTGTATATGCAGAATTTATGACCCCAGCAGATTTCTTTGCTTCCCTGCAGAAAAATGACTTTCTGATGGGGACGCAAAAGAAAGCCACAAGAGCAGTCATGCGACCCTTCCCAGCAGTATGTTTCGGGTGCCCAGGGCAGTCAACGGAGAGGTAAATCACTGTGGGGCAGGAGGTGGGACTGGGGAAGACCTAACTGGTGGCTCCTATCCTGCACCAGGCTCAGATCCTTGTCCCGGATGGGCTAGGGAGGACGGGACTTTCTTTTCCGTTGCATGGGATCCGGTGCTGTATACTCCTAGATTTCTTCCCCAGCTGCAGAAAGCTCTGCAAACTCCCCCCACCCGCTTCCAGCACGCATCACTCAGCTGCAGGAGGAGGGATCCCTATATAGGGAGCTGCTCCCCGATCTGCCCAACCCCCATGCATCCAGACCCCCTCATACTCAGACCCTCCCACTGAACCTCACCCCCCTGCACTCAAAGCCCCCCTCCTTAATGAGCCCCATTCCCCCTATGCCTTGACCACCTTAACAAGCCACCTGCACCCTAATCCCCATCCCACTGAGCCCCAACCAGCTGCACCTGGATCCCCACCCCACTGAGCCCCACTTCCCCAGCATCTGGAGTCCCCACTGAACCTCCCCCCATCCAAACAACCCCTCACCCCGCTGAGCCCCAACCACCTTCACCTGGACCCTCCTGCAGAGTCCCATTACAGTTGCACTCAGAACCCCCCAACAAAACCCTGTGCATCCAGACTCCCCCCCGCACCTGGATCTTCCACTGAGCTGTCTGCATGCAGATTACCCCACATAGAACCCTCTCAACCCACATCTGGATCCCCTCACAATAAGCTCCTCCACACTTGGATCCTGCCTTGCTGAGCCTTCCTGCCTACACCTGGCACTGAGGGGCAGGACCCTGGGGTGTTTCTGGGGCAGGCCCAGACCCTGAGCTCTGTCAGGGTTGGGTGCAGCCTCACTGCTGAGTTCGTGTCCCGCGGGGGTAGCTGCACAGTGATCTCCCATCTCTGTGCAGCCAGTGGCCTGTGCTCCCCACTGCCATGCTGGGGCCTCCACATTTATTTGACAAATAAAATTTGCAGAATTTTTAAATATTGTTTGCAGAATTTTTATTTTTTGGCGCAGAATACCCTCAGGAGTAATTTGCTTCTCTGGTTGGAAGATATAAATGAACTTCCATTGTCTCTGGGCTCACTTTGCTCAGTCTGCATGTGAGACACAGGTAAAAGAACATTCCTTTGTTGAGCACATATTTGTGATTCCACTGCCTCCAAAACATATTTCTCGCACACATCCATAATTCTTCATACACAACCCACACGTACCCTACCCAAGGATATTCATGACTAGTTTTCAATTTTTATGTTATCTTAGAAGACAGCGTTTGGCTAAGTATTCTGACAGCAGTGTGTGTATGTGCCCTTTGCTAGTTTGTCTAAAGGGGCTGTTAGGGTGACGGTGGCAACTCTCACCCCTACCTCGAAGTCGCCTCTTGAAATCTGTGTCCAAACCTTCCCATACAACAGCACAAAATCACGTCTGCCTAGGCCGTGCCTAGGTGAGCCCCAGCCCCAGGAGAAGGTAGCCCGAGGAGAGAGGTATATTGTGAGCGGAGAGGCGTGGATTCTTTCGGGACGGTCGCAGGCTTGGTGTGGTTTGGGTTTTGCCCCGCTGAAAGCCAGTTTCATTGGAAAACGCCAGTTCATCCTGCCTGAAATTTCTCATGACATTCCGTCAGCTCTGACAAATGAAAAATTTCAGAAACAAGTGGCTTCAGTCTGAACTGAACCAAACCCGCTGACGGGGACGGGGGGTCGCTGGGCGGCGGGGATCAGCCAAAGACACAATAGCTTCCACCTCCCCCAGCCGAAGAGCGCGCGGCCGGAGCGCCGCCCCCTCTCCATTGGCTGCTGGCTTAGCTACGAACAACTCCCGCCACTAGGAGCGCTACGTTTGTGCGCCGGGAGGTTGTTTAGCGGTTTCCATAGTAACCAAGCAGGTCCCGCCCCTTTAAATAGCTCCTCCCCGGGCAAGGGGGTGACGCTGCCGCTGATGCCGGAAGTGAAGATGGCGGCGGCCTCTTCGGAGCTGCTCACGGGCTGGTGCCTTTTCGGCCTCTCGCTGCTGGTAGGAGGGGGGCAGCGCGGCTCCGCTGGAGCTTCTTCCCCTTTCCTGGACTGGCCGCCCTAGGCTCTGTGAGGCCGCAGGCTCTTAGCTCCCCTATAGTCCTTGGGGATAACGGGTTACCACACGGTGCCCCCTCCCCGGGTGCTTGGTGCCCGGGGTGACGAGCGCTCCCCACCCCCGCCCTCTTATGGACCTTGGCTGCACGTGCTTCTCAACCACGCCCCCTAGTGTCCGGGGTAACGGGCTCCCGCGGGCCTTTCCCTCCTTGCTCTCTCTGGGGTTAACTGACTGGCCCTCACGCTTCCTTCCCCGCTGAGGCGGGTTCCAGAGCTCTCCGCCCATCCCCTTCTCCTTGGGGTCTGGAGCTACCGGCTGTGCTTCCGCACACCCGTCCATGGGGTGTCTGGCTCCTCTGGGGTAGCTAGCAGAGACAGGCTGTGCAGGGGTCCTGTGGTAAAGCCGCATATGGCCACGTAATTGCAGACTGTACCCTAAAGCACTGAACTGAGGTTTCACAGTAGCCCTGATTCCCGCAAGTCCTAACTTCCAAATGCCTGACTTTGCAGTCTTATTGCTGGTCCTCTTGGGTGTAATTTCATATCTTTAAAAAAGAAAAAGAGAGAGAGAAACTGGAGCCATAGTGGCCATCAGTTTGGGTCATCGGCAGGATCTGGGTTTTTAGATTCTCAGTACAGGCCTTTGCCACTTGAACTAATGCAGCAAATGGTAGCAGCTGTAGTGGACTATCCTCTTTTGGCGGAGAGAGAACAAACTACCCATGGTGTGGGCTAGCAGTTCACTGGTCTGGCTGGTATTTTTATGGATTTGTCAGTTGCCAGAAAAATAATTTAATCTGCAAGGGTTTTTTTTGCATGGGTCTAAAGATTAGCATTATTATCACGGTACACTGGGATATCTAATGTTAAAAGTTTTTCTGTCCAGCTAAAGATGCTGCAGTGTTCCCACTTGTGCATTTTAAGTCATAATAGATCAAAGCTATTGAAAATCCAGCAGCTGTTTGCCCACTGTGTGTGAGAGAGAGAGAGGGTTTGAGCCATGCAAGAGTGAGGCGTGTGATGTTATCAATCTTTCTTATGTGTTTTTTCTCTAAATGCTATAAGTGGCTGTTGAAGGGGGGCTGTTGAGTTGTTGTGCTTGGGGATGCATCGGGCTTGTCTTGTGGGGTACGTGATGTATTTTTTGCATTTCAAAGGTGGTAATCCTACCCCTAGCAGATGTTAGTAATGTTTAATGTACAGCCAGAAGATGCTCTGATGTCATGGTGATGAGAGCAGTTTAAGTATCTCTGTAGAATAGAAATACAGTTTAACCTGAGTGATATTTCTGATATTCTTCTGCTGTGCTGTGATATGGTATCTATCTTTTCTTATTTCAGGCTATTCTGGCTTTCTCCTGGGTTTATGTGCGCAAGTACCAGAGTCGACGAGAAAGTGAAGTAATTTCTACCATAACAGCTATTTTTGCACTGGCAATTGCACTTATCACATCAGCACTTCTGCCAGTGGACATTTTTCTGGTTTCATATATGAAAAATCAAAATGGCACATTTAAGGTATGAACTACTTAGATATTGGCATTTAGTAAAATATATGTTGCCAAAATTGCTTTACCATATGTCTTCCCTCTCCCTTTTTGTTATCTCTTCATTCTGAGTTATCAAACTAAATCATATTTTAGTGTCTTATTACATTGCTGGAATTTTTGTCTTGGAAGAAGAACACTAGCATTGCAAACTAATGTCATTTACTTCTAAAATAGATTCCATCCTCATAACTTTGTAATGTAAACCTGCTATTCTCTCATTAAAATATTAATATTACCAACTTTTATAACCTACACGAGAATAGTCTTGTTTAGGTGCTGGAGGGTTTATTCATTTAACATTGCATAAATAGAAATGATGAGAGACTCCTAAATATTTTCTGTAGTTCATACTATAAAATTTATATTTTTGTATTGTATTATAAATATACCCGAAGAACAGAACAATATGTATATGTCTGAATGAGCTCTCAGTCGAAGTCCTGCTCTACACTTAAAAATTAGATCGACTTTGTTACCTCTTTCAGGTCTGTGAAAAACTTTGCTCCGTGAGCATTGTCGTTAGTTTGAACTAACCCTTGGTATAAACGTGGTTAGGTTGATGGAAGAATTCTTCTGTTGACCTAGCTATGGTCTCTCTGAGAGATGAATTAACTACCTCAACAGAAACTCCTATTGATGGAAGAAAAGTCTTCCTTATGGCACTACAGCCGCACACATTTAGGAAATCAACATGTTTTAATGGTTATCAACCAGTTCTTAGGAAAATAACCAAATGATACGAATAAAAACATGGTTAAAATCAGTTATTTAAATCATGGTCTCTTGCTTGCTGATTTAGTAATTTAAAGTGCCAGTTTATATTATGACTTAAATAATTTCCCCCCTGCTACAAAGTTTGCTTTTGTACACTGCCATATTTGTCTACCATTTCTTTTTAATCTCAAAACACACGCTCTTGCATACATTCATATGAGTGTTATGTTTAATCACTTCAAAGGTTAAGTCAGATGCTTTACACATTTACAGGGTGGACAACTTGCATCCATGCTACTGTTTCTTTAGTGAATCAAGTAACTTATCCGCACAAAAAATGTATACTGTTGAGAATTTAAAAGGACATGAAAATTTTCAGTTAAGGTTCTCCCAGTGTGAAAAATCTTCCACCTTTGTGCATATGGATTCTAATAAAGAATAGACAAAACAGTTTTCTTCTGCTTTGCTTCTTCCTTCAGACATGTTCTTGTAGCCCTTATCTTGAGAAGGGAAAATGCTTCCTTAGATTCTCCTTGCCTCGCTACCCATCATCCTATTTCTAACTAACTATTAATCTTCAAAAGTCTAGAACAAAACATGTAAAAATGTGGCCTTAATACAGTTATAGCATCTGAAATTATGGCTTGATTATATGAAAATCAGATTTTCATATAAAATAATGCAAGTAATTCTGGAATAAAACTTAAACCAGTTGAAGGTGTTTCTGACCCCAGTGTTGCTCTTTAAGATCATTTTATTGTAAAACTGGCTTTTTTTTCCTGGAATTGGTAGCTCATAAGCTATCCCATGTCATGTCCTCAGTTTTCCATAATTTTTGGTTTAGAAAAACTAGTTGGTATTTTTCTGTGTCCAATACCTTGTCTTCATAATACTCCTTTGCAATTTTGGTAGTTTGAGGAAATAGGTATTATGGATATGGATTTAGTTCAATATCCCTTGATCCCAAACCATCTGCATTCCAAAAATAAAAAGCTTTTTATGTTTATAAAAATACGTTTAGTTTGATATGTATTACCCCCACCCCAAACATGTTAACTATACCAAAACTAGATTTGCACCATCCCCTAAAACAAAAGCCTTTATAGCCTCAACCTGCTTTGGTTTGAAGTTGCTGCCTGTTTTGTCATAGAAGCCACTGGGAGTGGAAATGGTTCCATCTTGAATAAATGAACCTTTTCGCTGTGTCTTGAAAGTTAAGAGATTCTGGCATTGATAGACAATGGGATAAGTAGCTGGGTGAAGGGAATGTTAAATGACTGACAATTTCTTAAAATCCAAGTATAACTTTTAGCTGCTTTTTTTCTTCACGAAAACATTCTTTGTAAATGGAAGAGGGACTGGTAAATTGTATTACTTTATCACAGGACAATGGGATTTTAAAGGAAATGGAAATACACAATTTTTAATTACTAATAACTTGCATTGTACTGTACATGTAATCTTCCCTATAGAATATACCTTTGTTCCTGTACATAACTTGCATTTTAAAAACAATTAAAAATTGACAAAGCAAACTTTTTTTATTGCCTCCAGCTGTTATTGGTACACCTCAAGTTGCTGCTATCCTCCCTGTTGCTCTCGTTTTAGCAGAGAACTCAGCTATTACATATGGAGGTTATCTGGTAGAACGTAGATGCCAAACTGGAATATCTTTCTAACAGTGTCATATTATTCTGTTGCTGTCATCTTAATTCCTGGTTACCTCCCCTTCAGGATTTTTGAATACTGTTAACTGGTGGCTAAAATTGCAGGCTGATCTGGGGCTGGCTATTGTGACCTTGTTTCATATTTTCTTTTGACATATGTTTGCATTACTTTTGACAAGACCTTTTCATATCTTCTTTTAAGACTTTCATGAGAGCAAAGAAGTGCTTCACTGTGACCAAATGTTTAACTTAAACTCTTCATTTCCAATAAGAACACATAATTAAAAGGAGTGCATTCATTTTTAATACTTGCTATTTAAAAAAAGCAAACTCTGCATGAGAACTTTTCTGTCAAAATTAAGTACTTTCTTATTCTCTTTATATAATCAGTCCCAAAATCTTACCTCTGCCATGATGCTTAGAAACTGCTACTCTAGCATTGGTTGGGCATGTTAGGATTTTTTCCACACTAAACTCCCCATTTTATTACCTCCATGAGAAGCACTTAACTCAGGAATGTGCTCTCCTTATTTGATCTGCCAGAAACCATATCTGTTAAGCTTTTTGGCATGTGTGAAAGGTTCTTATTCTCTGGCATCTGGGGAGGAGAATGGGTAAGAGTATAAAGGGTCATTGGCTGGCATGTGGTAATTGGATCCTTCCCCAAACTTGGTTATGATTGTGAGATAATGAACTTAATGTGAAGTTTGTTTTTACTTACTGTGAACCTTAAGATTTATAAGAGGTATACAATGTGGGATAGATGCTTCTATTTGACAAATAGGTGTCGGGACTATCTTTGCTTAGAGAGACTAATACTCATGTTATAGGTTAGTGGTTATAAAAAAAAATCATTAAGACAGTCTGTGTAAGGTCTCAGTAAATGATAAAACCTTACTGAGGAAAACCAAAATTTAATAAACAAGCCTAACTGAAACTCAATTTTTGGAACATTGATTGTTTTTGTGCAGGGGTTGATGATCTTGATCTTTATTCCCAGATGTGTGGGTGACATCTTAGGTCTATCTTCTTAGGGCTTGCCTAAACACACAAGGTGTACCACTTTGACTATACTAGTAGTAGTTAAAGCAGTATAATCCCTAGTATGGATGTAGTTTTATGGGTATAAATGTGTTTATACCAATACATATTATTCCTTAAGGAAAGAGGAATAAAGCTGTTAATAAAAGGCATCTTTATAGTCATAACTGGATCCACACTAGGTGTTCTACCTGTATAACTATTGTGATGGAAAAAAATCACAACCCCTAACAAATATCTATACAGATATAAAACCTGTGTAGACCAGGCCTTAGCCGCTGGCATGGATCTCTAAATGTATCTTAGCCTTTCTTGAATAGGAAATACTATTGGTAACATGCACAGTTAGGCAGTGGTCATATGCATATGTTTAGGAGTGAGGGAAGAGTCTAAGGGCATGTCTACACTATAGCCCTAAGTCAACATATGTTTGGCTAACTTATAGCCATCCCCACAGTAATTATTGTGGTGGCTGATGTCCGTACTATCTTCCTTCTGTCTGTGGTGCATGTCCTCACCAGGAGTGCTTCCACTGACTGAAGAGGGGCAGTGTGGGGGCTCTCAGGTCCACACAGCTCCCTGTTGGGAGCCCAACTGCTCCCCAGGCTTCTCGCCTCCCTGCTCCCAGCTGGAGGTGCAGGGGTAGCTGCCACCCAGGTTTCTTGGCTCCCTGAGCAGGGAGTCTCCAGACAGCCCAGCTAGGAGTGGGGAACCTGGAGGAGCTGTGCTTTAGTTGCCTGGATTTCTTGTCAATTTCACGGCTCCAGCATGGAGCTGTGAAATGGACAAGACCACCAACAGCCAGGGTAAGTAAGGCAGTGTCAATAGACACCTCCTCGCCCTAACTACACTTGCGTAACTCCTCCACCTTCATGAGAGGCACTTACATCAGTGGGATAAGACTGTAGTGTGTACACTGACATAACTAGGGCTATGTAAGCTGCCTTACATCAACCTAACTGTGTAGGGTAGACCAAGCTGGAATGTGAGAAGTTAGCCTACTCTGCCTACATGGTCAACATACTGGGGCTTCTTAAGCAGGTTTTGAGTCAGTTCTGATACCTAGTTTCTACATTCAGCGTCTTATTTTGAAAGTTTTTAAAATGTAGAGGACTTACCACATATTTGGACATATTTTTTTGAACATTCAACAAAAATAGTAAACCCCACTCTCCCATTTGCCTTTGAAATTGGAGATTAGGTAGCCAGTGCAGTTGGTCTGTCTATTTATATGTATTTCCTGCAAAATGACTCATTATACATCTGTCATGTATGTACCATAGAACCCTTTTATAGTCATATTTATATGGTGGTAATATCAATTATCAATAATAATTTGATATCAAGTTTTCAATCATAAGTATCTTTTTATATTGATTTTGTTTAATTGAGTCGAGTTGTTCTGTGGTGTCTAATAGATGTGGTATTTACATGCAAGAATATTATGTAACTCAATGATCAAAGCAAATATTAATAACTAGGGGCTTGTATAAATGCCTCAGTAATGCAGAATGGTAACTGCACAGCCTTTTTACCGTGCCCATACTTTTTGTATTCAGAATTGTAAGTCTGAGTCTGTTCAAATTGTTCTTCCAGAGTTATAAGAATTCAACTGATTGAATTCCTGTAAGCCACCAAGAACAAAATTTCATGCTTCCCAGTTTATACAGTTGACAATAGCAAAATATTTAGGATTTCGAAAATGAGTTATATGGATTGAAAGTGTTGCTTTTGTGAAATAAGTGTTATGTAATTTTCCCCCTTCATTCTTCCTAGGAGTGGGCTGATACTAATGTCACAAGACAAATTGAGGACACAGTACTATACGGATATTACAGTGAGTATTTTTAAAACAGCTTCTAAAAATAGGATTTTCTGCAGTGACTGGATCATGTGTTGATACCTTCTAATTAAAATCTTGTATTATAAGCTAATTTTCAAGGGGCTATAACTAAACTGAAAAATCATGCTGAGATAAACCTTAGTTCTGTCTACAGTCAAAGCTTTTGTAGGCTTTTTCCCTTTTTGTAAACTAAAATTTAAGTTTGCTTGTTAAAGTGCAATCTTGGGGGCTTCTGCATATGGGCTTATCGTTCTGGTCACAGTCCCAATGACAGTGCTTAAAACTTGACTAATGAGTTTTGGCGTATGGACCTATAATCTACAATGTGGACTATTGTTAATACACATTCATAGGATAGACATTAATGAGTTCCTTAGATTTTTTTTTTGGCCCTACTCTTGTCACTTTTTTAGCATGGTATGTCAAGGTTTCTTACAATTAAGGTAATGTGACGTTTTTCTACTGTACGTAACTCACTGCAATTTTGTTTTTATATTGTAATGCCTATGGTATGCAAGACCATTCACTGTTCAGACAGTGCCTGAGGACTGTATCTGCTTCCATAAATGAATATAATGGAGTACAAGGGTGATGAGCCTAAACAAAATGAAAGCAAGAAAACCATATTAGATCAACATCTAAACTTATTTTAAAATGTGGTTTCTGTTGCTTTTAAAATCTAATTTTTTATAGAAAGTGTTGGACCCATCTCTGCAATCTGTCCTTTATAAATTATTTATTTATTGCAATAGTGGATAATGTTATCTAGTACAAAGTTTTAGTGAAAATAACTATCATAGCATTGTGTTGAACTCACCATTCAAAACCAAAGAAACAAACACCTGTCAGGGATGGTTTAGATAATACTTAGCCCCCCCCCCCCCCCCATGAGTGCAGGGGACTGAACTAGAAGGCCTCTCTAGGTCCCTTCCAGTCCTATGACTCTATGAAATGATCATGTGCTGGGAGGAGAATATGTTCAGTAGCTTAATACATTTTAAGGATTAATAATACATATTAAAGACTAAACACGTGAAAGAATAGTGAAACTCAGATTTGTTTTCTGTGGTCTGGGCAAAGTGTGTGGTCACTTTTTAAAAGACCAATATTAAAACTAATTTTAAGACTGAATTTCTTCTTTTGCGGGAGAGAATACTCTGGAAGATATGTTGCAATGAATTGTGCTAAATTTTCATTGACTTGTAAGTCTTTCTGCTGGGCTATGACACTAGTACAAATATACCTGGTAAATGTATAATCGCACTTTGCATTAAAGTGGAACCTAACGACTGAAAGCAACAATATTTCAAAATGTGAAAGTCACTATATACATACTAACGTACAAACATTCACTAATGTTTTGCAACAAGAGGCCTGTTTTACAATGAAGATGCCACAGAAAATGCCACTTTTGGGTAATTTCAAGCTGCAGTCATAGAATTAATCTGATTTATCAGAAAGCAGTTTTTGTTGTGGCTTGTACTGATAGTACTGCTACAAAAGCGGCAATCAACGTTTAGTTAAAAAAAACTTCAGATCCCCACCAAGAAAGGGAACTCCTTTCCTCTCTTGCCATGGTTTATAAACTTCTTGTTCCCCTCAAAACAATACTGCTTCTCTAAATGAGAAATATCGGATGGTTTCGCTTGAGAAATAAACTTGATGCAGAATACCACATAAGAACTTTGAATACTTTACCAGACTAAATAGTGCTTTCTGGCTTTTTTGTATAAAAGATATATCTGACTCCTTAGGGCTTTCCTTATCAGTTCTATCCAGTGATATTTTTATTGTTTTGATAAGCTATACAAATATGGCTACTTGTGTTTAATAAAATACAAAAAAGACAGACTTCTTGGATACCTTTTTGTGGCAGAAGGGTATGGCTCACCCAGGTTGGGTTACATACTTTGTGCGTTTTTGTCATTACTGTCTGTTCCTGGTCCAGTGTCAAGGTTGATCTGTAGTTTGCTTTCTTGGGCGTGTCTTTCTACCAGGTTCAGGAATTATATTTTCTCTACAAAAACAGTGATAGGTTTTGATTCCTGAGGGAATAAAAAGGAATATGAGGAAATATCTTTACTGCATATCCTTGCATTTTGGTCTATTAATTCTCTGTAACAGGAGCTCTAGTCATTTAGAGTCTGGTTTTTTAATACAAAGTTCTTCAACTAACTGGAAACTATTCAGTGTCCTTTAGGGAAAAGCCCTCCAGGTGGATCTTTAATAAATACTCTGGGCTAACAGTTATCAAAACCCATAGATGGAAAATAAAGTAGGGCTGCCAAGCGATTAAAAAAATTAATCATGATTAATTGCATGAATAAACAATAATATCACTTATTTAAATTTTTTGGATGTTTTCTTCATTTTCAAATATATTTCAATTAAAACACAGAATACAAAGTGTACAGTGCTCACTTTATATTTTTGTTTACAAGTATTTGCACTGTAAAAAAAAAAAAAGAAATAGGTGAATTGAAAGATACTAATACAAGTACTTTAGTGCAATCTCTATCATGAAAGTTGAACTTGTAAATCTAGATTGGCGTACAAAAAATACTGCGTTCAAAAATAAAACGGTGTAAAGTTTTAGAGCCTGCAAGTCCACGTAGTCCTATTTTTGTTCAGCCAATCGCTCAGACAAACCAGTTTGTTTACATTTACAAGAGATAATGGTGCCCTCTTCTTGTTTACAGTGTCACTTGAAAGTGAGAACAGGCATTCACATGGCACTGTTGTAGCTGGTGTCGCAAGATATTTACGTGCCATATGCACTAAAGATTCACGTCCCTTCATGTTTCAACCACCATTGTATCCATGCTGATGACTGGTTCTGCTCGATAACAATCCAAAGCAGTGCAGGCGGATGCATGTTCATTTTCATTATTTGAGTCAGGTGCCACCAGCAGAAAGTTGATTTTTTTTTTCTTTTTTGGTGGTTTGGGTTATGTAGTTTCTGCATCGGAGTGTTGGTTTTTTAAGACTTCTGAAAGCATGCTCCACACCTCTTCCCTCTCAGATTTTGGAAGGCACTTCAGATTCTTAAACTGTGGGTCGAGTGCTGTAGCTGTCTTTAGAAATCTTACATTGGTACCTTCTTTGTGTTTTGTCAAATGTGCTTTTAAGAAGACTTTCACTGCAGATGTGCTGTGTCATCATCATCTGAGACTGTTATAATATGGAAGAATGCAGGTAAAACAGAGCCGGGTTAATACAATTCTCCCCCAGGGAGTTCAATCACAAATTTATTTAACACATCAGCAAGGAAGCATGTCCTCTGGAATGGTGGCCAAAGCATGAAGGGGCATATGAATCTTTAGTACATCTGGCAAGTAAATACCTTTCTGGTGGCATTGTAAATAAGAAGGCAGCATTATCTCCTATAAATGTAAACGAACTTGTTTGTCTTAGCAATTAGCTGAACAAGAAGTAGGATTGAGTGGACTTGTAGGCTCTGAAGTTTTTACATGGTTTTGTTTTTGAGTACAGTTATGTAAATTTACTACATTTGTAAGTTGTACTTACACAGCAAAGATTGCACTTGTATGAGGTGAATTGAAAAATACTATTTGCCATTTTTACAGTGCAAATATTTTTAATAATATACTTTGTATTCTGTGTTGTAACTGAATACAATGTATATGAAAATGTAGAAAACTATCCAAAAATTTATTTCAATTGGTATTCCATTGTTTAACAGTGCAATTAACTCAAATTAATTGTGATTAATCATGTGAATTAACGGATTGACAGCCCTAATATAAAGACACTAACTTGGCTCCACTCAGATACAGACCTACCCGCTATCAAATCTTCCAATTCTAGGTCTACCTTTGAGTGCCTGTTTGAAATTTCTAGTACTAAATTTTGGTGGTACTGCTGTTTAGGAGAACGATAGGTGCAGACTAATACGTCAAGGTCACTGATTGCATGCCTCTTCTTAGGCGAGTTATGTGGACTTCATCTCCAGTTTAAAACTAACAATCTTCTCTTTAGATCTGAATTTCTAGTAGACTAATTCCACAGTACTTCTAAGGTGATCTGAAAAACTGAATCCAATATCTGAGGAATTCACCAGATAATCATGGTAATGGGCCACTTGAGAATGTAACTTAATGCGTTACAAAACTTCAGGGTTTTTGTTTTAAAAGAAGGAACTTGACTTGTTCCTGTGAACTATGTATATTTTTGAGTTGTTGTATTATGAATTATTTTCAGTGATAGATAAAAATACGGGAAGTAGAAGGTCAGATAAATAGATGAAATTAACTTTTTTTTATTTTTAAACTGTAAGAAAACTGTGTGGCTTGGAAGAAAGTTGTCACTGCTTTTTTGATATTACCATTAGATTCTGGAAAACAAGAACTCTGTTCTGCACAAAATTTTAGCATTTTGGTTTTATTCCACGCAGGGATGAAACAGACCTTCCGAAACTTTTCACAAAAATTACGCACAGACTAGCCAATAGCCCAGTGCCCTATCTGATTCAAAGCAGGGACTTGAATGTGGGTCTCCCACATCCCAGATGAGTGCCCTAACCACTGGAATATTTGCTGTTTGCTTTTTGACTAGAAATTCCCTCCTGGAGCTGAGAAATCTTGTCAAAGTTTTGGTTTTAACCAATTGGCATCTTCCAACAAAAAAAAGTAGTTGAAAATTTCCCAACGAGTTCTAGAACATGCACAGTTGAAATCAAAGGCAGTAGGGCTCAGCAAAAGTTGCCTGAAAAATTCCATTAGGATGGTAGCTTTGGCTATCCATGCAGGATGAATTGTCAAGAGCAGCAGTTCTCAAACTTTAGCAACCTGAGGACTCCCAATTTTGATTTAAGAATGTTTTCCCTGGGGGTGCTCAACCCCCACTTAGCACTCAGGCCCTGTCCTTCCTTTTCTCTGCCTCTTTCTGCCCCCTGTCCCCGCTCTTGCTCTTCCTCCCCTCCCCTCCCAGCAGCCCCTGCATGTTGCCAAACAGCTATTATGTGGCATGAAGGA